CGCCGAGCTCACCGGGATCTCAGAGTTAGGCGATCGCGGGCTCCTCGCGATCGGAGGGGACAGCCAGTCCTGTGAAACGAGGAAGCGGTCCCGGACGCCCAGCCACGCCCGGGAAGAACAGGAGCCGGGCGAAGGGGGGACATGAGCGACCAGCTGACTCCAGCCCCAGGCCGCTAGAGGCGACCCAGCAGCCCCTCAGCTGTCTTCGGGACCTCGGGTGGGCAGTATCCGCCGTCAGAGCCCAAGGGGCCTTGGCCATTGAGTGCCTGGCCTCAGTGTGTACACATGGAGAAACTGAGTCCTGACACAGGGAAACAGCTTGCCTAGGGGGCCTTTGGTCTTCAGTCCACATTGTAAAGCGAAGGTGCTCCCAGCGCTCCCAGCCATCCTCCTTCCCATTCTGGATAAATAACCATGGTCATAGCCCTGCCAGCCGTGTCCAACCCCTAAATGCGCCCCAGTGTGTAGCATGAGCCGGCCTGATCCTGGATGACTGGGCTTTTCAGGAAATCCCCGTCTCACCGGCATGCTTCCGCCCCCACCTCTCTGTAATCATGCCATCCTGCAGTGGGATTGTTTTGTCCTGAGGGGGCAGCAACAGCCCCTTGGGTGGATTCTTGCAGGTGCCCGGAGGGAGGTCTGATGCATACTTCATTCCCACCACCCTCCCCTCAGAATCTAAGAGGATGGAGCTGAGTACCCGTAAGACCAGCGAATCAGAGGAAGACTCTGAGGAAGAGGAATCTGAGGAGGAGTGTATTAAAGAGGAAGCTCCCATCCCTTCTAACTCTCAGCGGCAGGCACCCCCCAAAGAGGACTATAGGACATTTGAGAATGGGGTTTCCTTATCCATTGTAGCCACGAAAATTCCAAAGAAAACCATAGCCCCAGATGACACGGAGGACTTAGAAATTGGGAGGAGAAAAAGAAGGCGGAAACGCAGGTAACCATTCCCTGGATCCTGCCACCTCCCCCGCTCCAGAGTCACCCTCTGGCCTCCCTTCAGCATTTGGGGGGTTGGGTTCTAAGGTCTTTCCTTCAGCCTGTGAATGAGGAGGGGAAATGCTGGAGCATCATTCACCTTTCGGTACAACAAAAACAAAATGCAGGACCGTTTGGGCTGGCTCCATAGGGAATCTCATCCTGTTTATACCATCCTGGTCTTTAAGTGGCTTCTAGAGAAAAGGAATTGTGTTGTCAGTTGGTTGGATAGCTCTTCATCTAGGTCCCTGTCCTTCCCTTCCACACGGTCTGACTGATGTTATTCGTCTATTCCAGACCCCTGGCCATCAACCTGACCAACTGCAAGTATGAGAGTGGTAAGCACTTGGCTTGTCACACACACTATTGTGTGCAAGGGGGCATTTACAGTGTTGCTCTTCCTCTGGGGGTGATCCCCCAGTCAGGTCCCAGCCCCTGGGTGTCTTCTGACTCGGATACTGGCAGCTGAGACACTTCTGTTCCAGGTAGTCTAAGTGGTAGGGAGGGTATGTCCAGCTAACAAGGAAAAAAATGTCCAAGAGCCACCAGTGCCCTACCTTTCTCAGATATCACGAGATGAGGCAAGGTTAAAACAATTTTGCTCAAGAAAGCTTTGAAAGGGCTTCAAGAATTTTAAAAAAAAATCACCAGCTGAGATAGCCATCTCCTTCTTCCCCTCATATCTCCTCTAGCATCTGTGCAAGGGGCTACCCAGAGTGTGAGGTGCCAGTGTGACCCCTATCTATGGTCAGCTCTCCAGGCCATAAACAGTCCTGATTGCGAGATAGGACTGATGGAATCAGAGACCCAGCTCTAGTTTTCTCTGCCACATATTTTGGACGGGTCCTGAAGACCCTTGAACTTGGAATTGCCACATGAACCCAAGTGCAGAGCTAAGAACTACCTCACTCTTCAACCTCCCCTCTTGTTAGGTTTGTAACTTACCTGACCCAGCTATATAGTTCCGGGGCTGTTGCTGGTGCCCAGGCTGGCACCACAGACCTCTCTGTCTCTACAGTGCGTCGGGCAGCCCAAATGTGTGGCCTGAAGGAGGTGGGGGAGGACGAAGAGTGGACTGTGTACTGGACAGACTGCTCTATCTCGCTGGAACGAGTCATGGATATGAAGAGGTTCCAGGTACCAATCTCCTGACCTAAGAGCCAAGGGGGGCTGAGGCCCCAGAGTGGCTACTCCCACCCCCTTGCCCAGGTACACAAGACTGCTACTCTCTGTGGCTGAACTCCTGTGCAGACAGGAAGGACTCCTTGGGTCTTCTTTTCCAGCGGGAAGATTCTCCTCTTGGGTCTCTGGAGTTCTGTTATCTGAAGGAAGTGTCTGGCAACTGGGCACATCCTCTCATTATTTGCACTTTGGTCCGTGGCATCTGTGTCAGGCTGGCCCTCTCCAGGGTGGGTGAGCCCATCTCAGGGAGGAGAATGGGAGGCAGCTTCAAAGCTACTACTGGGCCAGGTGAACAATTCAACCTTCAGAGCAGCTCAGCTTAGCTGCTGAGTGTGGAGTCCTGCCTGGAACAAGAAAGCCAGAAAAGAGGGACCCAGGCCGACAAGAACGTAACTGCTGCATGGTATATTTAGTATCCTCAGATGGGTGTTTGTGATGATGGGCAATAAAATAATTTCAAAGGGCAGGGCATGATGGCTCATGCCTGTAATCCCAGGATTACTTTGGGAGACTGAGGCAAGAAGCTTGCCTGAGCCCAGGGTTCAAGTCCAGCCTGGAAAACTTGGTGAGACCTTGTCTCTACAATACATCAACAAATTAGTTGGGCATGGTGGCACACACCTGTAGTTCCAGCTACTTGAAAGGCTGAGGCAGAAGGATCACCTGAGCCCAGCAGGTTGAGGCTGTAGTGTCTGAGAGTGTGCCACTGCACTCTAGCCTAGGTGACAGTGATACTTCGACTCAATAATAATAATAATAATAATAATAATTTTGAGTGTCTGTAGGCTTCTCTTTTGTTTTTGTTTGTTTGTTTTGAGTTGGAGTCTCACTCTGTCACCCAGGCTGGAGTGCAGTGGCACACTCATAGCCACCGCCACCTCAACCTGCTGCGCTCAGGTGATCCTTCTGCCTCAACCTTCCAAGTAGCTGGAACTACAGATGTGCACTACCATCCCTGTCTAATTTTTCTTGATTTATTGTAGAAATGAGGTCTCGCCAAGTTGCCCAGGCTGGTCTCGAACCTATGGGCTCAGGTAATCCTCTCGCCTCGGCCTCCCAAAGTGCTGGGATTATAGGCATGAGCCACCACACCCAGTTGTCTGCAGGCTTCTTTTCGGGGGAAGTCAGGAAGGGAGTTGGGGAGACTATGAACCCTATCCCACTAGTCTTGGGAGAGGCGCCCAGGGCATCTGGAAGATGAGACCAGTAATCAGCAGCATTCATGGAGGGCTTGCCACACATCAGACACGTGCTGAGTGCTTTACATTCTCATTCAACCTCAAGCGCTGAGTGGCAGATATTCCTTTGTTAAGACACCAAGGCTCAGAAATACTGAGTTCACACAGTGAGGGCAGCTGGTGAGAGGGAAAGCTAGTGACAGGACAGAGCAAGCACCAGGGCAATGCTACACCTTCTCTGGGTGCCACGGCACTGCGGTGCCTGCAGCTGCTTCTGTTTCCTTTACTCACCTGTGTCTTTTGGGGAATGTTTTCTTCTCCTTATTTGCTTTGTGCCGTCATGCATCAATTATGGCTACAGGACTCGTCCTGTGGACTGAGGGATACTAGCAGGTAGCTGGCATCCTGAAGTCCTGGCTCCTGTCCACCCTATCTCACTGTCCCTCATTCATTGACTTCGCTATGGATGTTTGCGTTGGTCAGGGGCCAGAGGAGTTTCTCACCTACTTTAGGAAATCTCCCATTTTTACCCATGAGATGATAGGCACAGTGCTTACCTCCGCTGTGACTTCTCCCTTAATCTCCCCAACCTCCCTGCACTACTTCCTGGAATGTCAGGGCCCTAGAACTGCCCCCTAATCTAGGGAAGTATAACCAACTGACTCTGTTTCAGAAAATCAACCACTTCCCTGGCATGACAGAAATCTGCCGCAAAGACATGCTGGCTCGGAACCTCAACCGCATGCAGAAACTCTATCCTTCTGAGTACAACATCTTCCCCCGCACCTGGTGCCTCCCCGCAGAGTGAGCCTGGCTTCCCATGCTGAGATACTGGGGGAGGAAAGGGGTTGCTCTCAGACTGCCCTCCAGATTCCAGTCTTGTGACCTAGGAATGTCTCAGAGGGATGGAAGTGGAATGAGTAAATTTCAGCTGGTCAAGGAGGGTCTGAGACTGAGTGCTCCAGAAAGAGCATGGACTAGATAGCAGGAAGATTTCCATGGGGCCTTGGGACAGCCATGATACACAGAAACCTTCTGACCAGTCCCTTTCTGCACATAGCTATGGGGAATTCCAGGCCTTTGGTCGGCAGCGAAGAGCCTGCACTTATATCTGCAAGCCAGACAGCGGCTGTCAGGGACGTGGCATCTTCATTACCCGAAATCCCCGGGAGATCAAGCCAGGAGAGCATATGATCTGCCAGCAGTACATCTCCAAGGTGAAGGATGCTTCATAAACCACCGCTTCTGCCTCCACACAGTACTGGCTACCTTGCCTCTCCCAAAGCAGGGAGAAAGCCAGTTTTAAGCTCCTGCCTGTCCTGCTGTCTTTGAGGCGGCTGTGGTCCAGAACTGGCCTGAGTTTGTTTTTGTTTTTGTTTTTTTGAGTTGGAGTCTCACTCTGTCACCCAGACTGGGGTGCAGAAGCACGCTCACAGCCACCATAGCCTGGACCTCCTGGGCTCAGGTGATCCTTCCGCCTCAGCCTTACAAGTAGCTGAAACTACAGGTGTGCACTGGATAATTTTTTGATTTATTGTAGAGATGAGGTCTTGTCAAGTTGTCCAGCCTGGTCTCAAACCCCTGGGCTCAGGCAATCCTCTCACCCCTCCTTCCCAAAGTGCTGGGATTACCATGCCCAGCCCTGCCTTTGTCACTTCCCAGATACGCGACCTTGGGCAAGTTTCTTTTTTTTTTTGATTTGGATTCTCACTCTGTCGCCCAGACTGGAGTGCAGTGGCCGCTCCTGGCCACCGCAGCCTCGACCTGCTGGGCTCCGCCGATCCTCCACCTCAGCCTTCCAAGTAGCTGGAACTACAGGCGCGCGCTACCACGCCCAGCTATTTTTTTTTTTAATTGTAAAGATGAGGTCTCGCAAAGTTGCCCAGGCGGGTCTCGAACCCGCAGACTCAGGCAATCCACTCACCTCAGCCTCCCAAAGGCGCGGGATTATAGGCTGAGCCACCGAGCCCAGCTTGGGCAAGTTTCTTACCCTTTCTGTGCCTCTGTTTCCTCATTTTTTTTTTTTTTTTTTTTGAGTTGGAGTCTCACTCTGTCACCCAGACTGGAGTGCTCCCGGCCACTGCAGCCTCGACCTGCTGGGCTCCAGCGATCCTTCCTCCTCAGCCTTCCAAGTAGCTGGAACTACAGGCACGCGCTACCACGCCCGGCTGATTTTTGTTTGTTTGTTTGTTTGTTTGTTTTTGAGTTGGAGTCTCACTCTGTCACCCAGACTGGAGTGCAGTGACTGCTCCTGGCCTGATTTTTTATTTATTGTAGAGATGAGGTCTCGCCAAGTTGCCCGGGCGGGTCTCAAACCCCCGGGCTCTGGCAATCCACTCACTTAAGCCTCCCAAAGGCGCGGGATTACAGGCTGAGCCACTGAGCCCGGCTGTTTCCTCATTTTTAAGAAGGAATAATAACAGTAACTACTTTACATGGTTATTGGGAAAATTAAATGAGTTATGTGTCTGAGGCACTTATAACAGTGTAGGCACCTTAAGTGTTATTATTCCCTCATGGGTCTGCATCCTATCAGCCCTTCCTCATTGATGGCTTCAAGTTTGACATGAGAATCTACGTCCTGATCACATCCTGTGACCCTCTTCGGATCTTCATGTATGAAGAGGGCCTGGCCCGTTTTGCCACCATGCCTTATGTGGAGCCCAGTCAGAACAACCTGGTAAGGGGGCAGGGCAGCACCCTCTTCTGTGAGTGCTGAAGTTCTACAGAGAAATCAGGTGTCAGCGTCAGCCAAGAATGAGTGAATCCAATGACAGCCACAGCACCTGGCTGTGAGGAAAGCCTTTGGTGGGTGGTGACTAGAAAGGTCATCTCTCGGAAGAGCTCCACACACCCTCTCCCCCAGGACCTTCCAGAACAGTCCTCTGGTGAAGATGGACAGGAGACGAGCAATCCTGGGGAGGGTGGGTGACAACAAGACAGTGATGGCTGGAGAGGGGGACTGCACAGAAGCAGGCTAAGAGCACAGGGCCACTCTCTTCGCAGGACACCGTATGTATGCACCTGACCAACTACGCTATCAACAAACACAGTGAGAACTTTGTCCGGGATGATGCTGTGGGCAGTAAGAGGTACTTCCTGTTCTGTTTTCTCCTGCTTCCTCTGCCTTTATCCCTATGGTCTCAGCAGCCCATGAAACCAAGCTTGCTCTTGGGAGACTGATTGCTCAGGAAAACTCAGCCTCTATAGACCCCTGTCCTGTGCCTGCACTTTGGAGCTCTAAGTGCTGCTCCAGGCCCCACCCATATAATTCATACCTGTTCCAAGCTGCCAGCAACTCTTTAAAGCACAGGACCCAGGGCCAGAATTACAGTGAGAGTGGGGAAGCCCCCTGCCTGTACCCTGGCCCCACTGGCATAGAAATTGGGCTTCCTCTGAGCCCTGGGCCTCACAGGAAGCTGTCAACACTCAACATCTGGTTGCGAGAGCACAGTTATGATTACCCAGAGCTATGGAGGGACATCGAGGATATCATCATCAAAACCATCATCTCAGCCCATTCTGTTCTTCGCCACAACTACCGAACCTGCTTTCCCCAATATCTGAGTGGAGGTACATGTGCCTGTTTTGAGATCCTTGGTTTTGACATCTTGCTGGACCACAGGCTGAAACCCTGGCTGCTGGAGGTGAGGAGGATTATCTCATAGGCTTTGCAAAACCAAGGTCCAGAGGCGTCCTTGAATAGGACACCTGGGATAGGAGTATACCCAGAAAATGGGGACATGGAGGCCCTGGGATGGTGGTAACCAGCAGAAGGCATAAGGTATCCTTTTGACCTGCTGAGTCAAATCTTGATGGTTTCTGGCCTCTACCACAGGAGTCCAGGTTTTGGACCCATGTTCCTACTACACCTGTAGAGTAAGGCTGTCTGATTTGCTTTCCCCAGCCTGCGAATTGGAGGGGGTCTCTATGGCAGAATCATGTGGCCTTAGAAACCAGATCAGGGTCACCCCTTCAGGTCCCCTCCCACTGTGGGAGCTTTTCTGTTTTCTCAATAAATTCTACTTTCTCAAAAAAGAAAAGAGAGAAAGAAACCAGATCATTCAGCCTCTTGGCTGAGGCCACTGGAGGGGGATATCTCTCCTAGACCCGCTAGTCAGGCCTGCAAGAGCCCACCCCCTGTTCAGGTGGGCTAGGAAGGAGTGGGTAATGACTCCTCCTGGCAGGTAAACCACTCTCCAAGCTTCACCACGGACTCAAGCCTTGATCAAGAGGTAAAGGATGCACTTCTCTGTGACGCTATGAACCTTGTTAACCTCCGGACCTGTGACAGAAGGAAGGTGATGAAGGAGAACAAGCGGCGCGTCAAGGAGCGGCTTTTCCAGTGCCACCAACAGCCACGAGAATCCAGGTGTGCTAGGGGTCTGATGTTAGTTTTGTTCCTCTTTATTCTGACTTCCTAAAAGTCCTTCTCTAGCTGGAGAAGGCAGCCTGGGCTGATTAGCCATTAAAAACGTATGTTTTACATAGATGATACACTCACACTTGCATGGATAACACATTACATATCATAGATAATATGTTCAAAGTTCAAAAGATACAGTCAATAGTCTTCTCTTTCCCTTCTCCTCTAACTACCCAGTTTTCTTCCCAGGAACAAATCAACATTCCTATTGTCATGTGTAAACTTTCACAAGCATTTAATGCACATATAAGTATTCATACAAAATATATTTCCCCCTTGTCTACCCAGACAGTTGCATGATTTTCACACGCTCTGCACCTACTTATAAAGAGCTTTCTTGGCTTGATTAGCTGTCTTCCTCTCAGTACTGGGCCTCACAGGAAGCTGTCAACACTAAACATGTGGCTGAATTCGTTTTTTGTATTAATAACAAAGCTTTTCTAGAAACTGATTTCTGGAAAACTTTGTAATAAAGAAATGCATAAGGTTGGACACTGTGGCTCACGCCTATAATCCCAGCACTTTGGGAGGTTGAGATGGAAGGATCGCCTGAGCCCAGGAGGTCACGGTTGTGGTGAGCCATGATTGTGCTGCTGCAGTCCAGCCTGGGTGAGAGTGAGACTCTAACTCAAAAACAAAACAAAAAGCCTACAGAAAACAGTTTAGTTATTCAATTACAGGGAATTATTCAAATCAGTGCTGGTCACCATTTTTGTTTTCACTGCAAAATGAGTTACAAACATGGCAACTGGTTACTGATAGTAAAATTATAATTTGTTAATGATACATTAAAAAAAGGAATTTGAGGCCGGGCTCGGTGGCTCAGCCTGTAATCCCAGCACTTTGGGAGGCCGAGGTGAGCGAATTGCCTGAACCCGTGGGTTCGAGACCCGCCTGG